GTTCTCCAAGCAATGCACACATGGTTCGAGGACTCAACTCTGTCATTGGTTCGTAACGACTGTGACTGCTCTGACTCTGTCCCTCTGTTCGTGGAGAGCTTTGTTACTCCTCATATCGCCTGATCACAGACTGAACTATTCCCTGACTTGCTGGTTCCTTATCAAACTTATGAGGCATATTGTTTCATTTTTGTATTCTCAAACACCAAACATCAATGTCCCACTGGGCGTGCCAAATTGTTTCGCACGGGTTATCGCTAACAATTAAAAAAGGACTCAGACGATTGTGTAAGGAACAGACCTCTTGAGACAGTCCCAAAAGGGGTGTTTTATTGGCGATGATTTACAATTGAAAATAAACAGATTGCCTTCAAGGGGCGCAAGCACACAAGTACTAAAAGAAGTGTTTAAAGTTAACCTAAGGAATTGAAATTATATATTCTTTGTTTATAGTGTTTGATTCGGGGTTCTTTTTTCTCTATGTCTTCTCTTCCTTTTATACTTCCTTGATAATTTCTTCATGACAAACCGTTTGAAAACTGCTTGATTGCTCTATAACTACCCACTTTCTTCATGAGGGCTAACTTGTCATGGAACTACCTTCTCTAACTGTTGCCATTNAATTTCTTCATGAAAAACCGTTTGAAAACTGCTTGATTGATCTATAACTACCCTCTTTCTACATGAGGGCTAACTAGTCATGGAACTACCTTCTCTAACTGTTGCCATTAGTCTCATCGTTCAACCGCCTACAACTATGATTCTTGGATCGTGGGGTATGGTAAGGTTGCTCAATAACCACTTCAATAACTGCTGCTCTAGATAACCATATTTCCTCATGTTTACTAAGATCCTCGGCGATTCGAATGTTTGGGCGAGAATAAGCTCATTCGCTCTGGGTGATTTTAAGCACTCCACTCGCTCAGATCTTGGGCGTCTTGCAAGCTTGGGCGATGATGGTACCTTGTTCGTGGGCCTCCACTGCATTCATTAATGGTTCTATTTGGGCCTTCATCCTGGACTTCCTAACTGGGTTTCATCACTNAATTTCTTCATGAAAAACCGTTTGAAAACTGCTTGATTGATCTATAACTACCCTCTTTCTACATGAGGGCTAACTAGTCATGGAACTACCTTCTCTAACTGTTGCCATTAGTCTCATCGTTCAACCGCCTACAACTATGATTCTTGGATCGTGGGGTATGGTAAGGTTGCTCAATAACCGCTTCAATAACTGCTGCTCTAGATAACCATATTTTCTCATGTTTACTAAGATCCTCGGCGATTCGAATGTTTGGGCGAGAATAGGCTCATTCGCTCTGGGTGATTTTAAGCACTCCACTCGCCCAGATCTTGGGCGTCTTGCAAGTTTGGGCGATGATGGTACCTTGTTCGTGGGCCTCCACTATTGCAAGCTTAGGCGATGATGGTACCTTATTCGTGGGCCTCCACTGCATTCATTAATGGTTCTATTTGGGCTTTCATCCTAGACTTCCTAACTGGGTTTCATCACTTGGGCTACTAGATTTGGGCTACACTTTTTGTATGTCAACAGAATGAGTTACAGCTTTTACGAGGTCTTAAATGGACTGCTTTGATCATCCCTAGAACTAGTTCGACTTCTTCTCGAGTTCTAATAAATTTTTTTGTTGTGTAGTCTTGCAAATACGTATATTATTAGTAATGCTTTTTCACTATCAGTTGTGAAGGAACTAGATTGCATGTTAAGACGAGGAAAATTCTTTTGGAGAAAAAAAGAGGTTTCTGTAGCCTTGCAATGGATTGAAGATTGTATGGAGAAAGTGAAATGGTGGATTCATGTTCAGAGTTCAGCAAGGAAGGAAGGTCTATTGCACCAACCCCACCTGCTTCTCCTTTCAGTAAAGATAACGGTGCATTCTCCATTGGCTCAGTTTCATATTCTCCATATAGCTTAGAGGGAGTCGTTATACCTACAGCACACGAACATATCCTGGAATGTGCTCTTTTCTTCAAACGAATTAGGAATGATGGATGACTCGCCCTTCTTAGTGACTATGATACTCTGAAGATCCAGGCTATGGCAGAAGTAAGGCTACCTAGTACCTTACAATATCATCTTTCTCATTATCTTCTATTGAATATAATTCAAATCACTAAACGTGTCCCTTCTCCTATAACTTAAGCCTTTAACGAGCAAACCGAGATCTCGAGTTCAAGTCCCATTACTGCCCATTTATGAAAATTGTGCATGTGTTAGGCCTACGATAAAAAAGAATCCAGGCTGAATATGGGGGGCATTTCGAGGACTAAATTAATAAATATTGTATATCCTCTCTGAATAGGTTAAGCTTTATAAGATAGGTGGTTTAATGTTTTCAACAGGTAGTCGTGGTGCATAATATTTATAATTTGGCTTTCATTCATCATTTTCCACAGGGTGTAATTTGTGAAACAGCAGAGTACTTCCGCAGGAGTCTTGTGAACCCATTCTCAGAGAGGTTTTTGTACACCAACAGCTCTCCTAGAGGGCCTACTTGGTCTTGTCTAGACGACGTTGTTCTTAAGGAGAAATATTACCCCAGCCCTTCGAAGAAGCTGTTTAAATCGAGAGAAGGTCTGAAGGGATTGAAGCTCATACTGATGCACAACTAAAAAAGTTACCTCAAAGTAACTAGCACATGGTTCTAACCGTTGTTCCCTCGCAATGGTTCAATCTCAATGTGAGAGTTATAAACAATTTTCCGCTGCAGATTAGATCTCATACCTCCTACACAACACAAAAGACTCCGCCTCCTATATCTTTTATGTAGTACGAATATTGGATGATCCACAAAGTTGCAACATTGAGTGAGAATCTAAAGTTCTGCTGAATTTTATTTCTTTCGTTGTGCCTAAGCATAGTTTTTATGGGACAGAACTACTGCACTCTTAATTGGTACGCTTGATGGCTGGGAAATTCTATTACTCCACGTTTGGTATGTTGGAATGGATTGCCCCGACCACAAAGGAGAAAAAGAAGTTAGAATATTAGTATTTACATTGTACAATGTTGTCGATTCCTATGTACCAAACAGGTTCACGTACATATGATGTTTCATTATAGTAGACAATGCAGCAATAAATGAGGGCAACTACGGAGAATATTTAGCATTTCCATCCATAAAAGAGACTGTACTAGAGCACCAGACACATAACAAATGAACATACTCGACGATGAAAGAAAAAAAAAATTAATTTTATGCCAAGAAACTAGTTCGTAAAATGCTCCAAAACGAAGGATCTATTTCAACGGTGATCTTTCTCGAGATTAACTGAGCCTCAATATCTTCCGTTCTTCGAAGAGTAATCACATGAACCCGAAAATAGAAAAGAGAATGAACTCTCAGAATCTTCAAACGGTGGTCGAGGAAATTCATGAAACTCGCCTGCATTACTGTCACCAAAGTCTAAAGGTGAGAAACAGTTTGTAGGATCATTTCCAGACCCTTTTACTTCCACAACATTTGACTTAAAGTTGAAATCTTTTGATTCAATCTTGGTCGTTGCTTCACTAATTTGTCCTTGATCAGATGGCCCGACCGAGGCTTTAGCTTCATCCACAGGAATAGCCGGAGTATGGCCTTGGAAAAGCGCAATATGACCGAAAAGCTTATCTTTCCTTGAGAAGCTTGTCCCACAAGAGCACAGCCATTTATCTTTGCCACAATGCTTTTCGTGTGTTTTGAGATCAGCAATGACTGAGAATTTCTTCACATTGCATCGACTGCACATATAAGTTTTGTCGCAATGCGTCCTCTTGTAATGGTTTTTCATACACAAAATCGTCTTCAGAGGCTGAAAACGTTTATGGTCCTTGTTCCGCTTGCAGCCGACAAAAGGGCATGAATATCTCTTCACGAGAATCGACTCAGAGCCGGATTCCTTGTTTGGCTTTGCAAGAGCTGCCGGAGTTTTGTACTCGTCCCCATGACCTCTCATGTGCATACGTAGATTAGCATCCCGCTTAAATCCTTTTCCACATATCGTGCAAAAATGGGTGTGGGGCGCAAGGATTTCATCCTTCTCAAGTTGCAAAATTTCGTATGATCCCGGTGGTAGGTTTTCTCCTTCATCAGGATCATCTTCACTTTTCAGTTCATGATCTTCTACAGTACAGTTTTCATAACCTGTTAGATCTTCCACCTTGTTCAAACTGTAATTCTCCGGGAGCACAACATTTTGAGAAACTCCGGCTGATGGTGATGGATTCGCTACATGACTACAATCCACAGACGGAAGAAGACTCCCAGCAGTTGACATTACTTGAACTATAATCGAAGTGAGATCAGCAGTGATAAGCATCTGCTGCTGAACCAAGAGTTCATCTGATTGACCCGTAAATTGACCTCTTCGGCCAGTAATATACTGTATCAAATCCTGAAGGTGATGAATCTTCTTCTCGAGGAATGAAAGACTGCTTAGCGTACTTCTTGGATCCCAATCTTGAATTCTGTTTGATTCTTGAGCCACATTCATCTGATAATCTTTTTGACTGGTGATTCCAGCTTGGTTATCGAAATTACAGGCAAAGGAAGATTGAGTTTCAGCTGGTGGATTAAAATCAGAGATTTTTTGCTCAATCCTCATTCCATGATCAAGAAATGATAAATCTGCACATAGCCTCTCTTCAGGATCCATTTTAAACTACTTATTCTCAACTTCGAGAGTAAAATGCTAAATAACACTGCAATACATGGAAAAAAAAAAGTGTGAAAATTTTCACTAAAGATTGAGCCAAGTAAAAATACACGAACAGCAGGTATCAAATTACTAAAATATCCATCTATCTAAATCATCACAATCGACCACAGTCAACAAAGTCAATAATTTAATTTAACGGATAAAACGAAGTAACAATGGAAGTAAGCAACAACAACAAACTAAGCCTTCTTTCAATAAATTGGAAGCAGCTACATGAATCCATTTTTCACGACTATGTTTGCTGATTGCCTAGATCTACTGAAAGATACATGCAACGTATTCCTATTTAACATCAAACCGACAAAATCAAAATCAAATCTTCCCTTATTACGATTATCCTTCCCTTCGGCCCTAATAGGTACTTCAATTTTAGCAAAGTCAAACGTAGAATTGAGGGAGAACCCTCGAAATTTAATTGGATTTTAGAACAGTTCAGCCAATTTTTTTCTTTTTTCTTGAGGAAAAAAAAAAATAGAACCAGTGATTAACCAGCAAGTATTATCATTAGGAACCCCAACTCCATATCTTGTCAACATGTTTCTTCTTTGCAAGTCCACAGAGAAAAAAGACATCTATCATTAATTATTCATATAGTCACTCCAAATTTATTGTAAACATGATTTTTTGTTTCTCCAAATGAAAATCGAAGTATTCAAAACCCATAACACAAAAGTTCAATCTTTTTCCTACCAACTTTCATTTCTACTTTACAGTGATGCTCAAGTCTAAAACTCATTTCAGGATTATTACGTATTTTTTTCTGGATATGAGCACAGAAATTTAATCGAAATGAATATTAGCTTGGATATATCAATAATCTACAAGAAAAAAGAAACAATAATTCAAGATATGTAAAGAAAAAAATAAAGATAGAATAGAGGAAGAAAACTAACCAAATCAAAGAGAGACAGATGCTATTTTTCTGCTGTGTGTTGGCTAATGGAAGGTATTGTAAGTTGCATATGTTTAATGTTTATACACAATTATTTTTGTTTTTATCAGAAAGTCAAGTCTATCTTATCATATATAATTATTTTCTTCGCCAAACCAACAAATTCTACTGTTTTCTTATTAACTAAATAGTACAATTTTTATATTTTTAGTTGAGGCCCACTAACCGGGATGATTCTCTTCTTCTTCTCTCATTATGAATACACGTGAAAAAGTGAGGCATGCACACAAAAATTTGACTTGGTAAAATAAACAAACAGTTTGTGTACAATAAATATTGCATTGGGATTAGGTCGAACAGAGGGGGCTTCGAAGGAAACTACGCCATTGCCTTAAAACTAACTAATACAGAGTTGAGGAAAAAAAAGTCACCGCCTTGGCTGCTTTCTAGGAAGGAAAATCAGCACACACTACCTCATACTTCAATGCCTAAATTTTTCTTTATGTTAGTAGTTGGCCCTACACATTGAAATTTTTGAGTAAAATTTTATTAAATTCATAAAGCACGCCTTTCATGAGAGTAATACTCGTTACACATATGGAATGAGTCAAGTATCAATTGGCTTTGTGTAACACTCGCCATTAAAATCGATTCGTAAGAAGAAGATTCTCAAAGTGCTTATTCAAGATTGACCTGGTGACTCCACGAAACTGGCTTGTTTCAGGATCAATTTCGATTGAGTGACCCAGTTGAATTAGACTAGTTAGGATGTCCAACGTACTTAATCAAGATCGAGATCCATGATAACCTATATTTCTCGGCTAGACAACTCGACATAATTAGTCTTCTACTAAAAGTAATCTTGTTCAAGTTGCTTGTCTACAATGAGGGTCTTGTTCATTTCGAGTACCCTTAAAATTGACGCGCAAAGAAAAGATGTCTAAAATACTTGTACATTCACAAGATAAGCACTTTACGGACATAAAATACAATTAAATAGTCACATTTTATATGCAAAGATGGACTATATTGAGCATCAATTGGTGATGCTAGGAGTTATGCCTTCCTAGTTAAAAAAAACTTGATCATTTGAAAACCTGCAAGTGCACGGGAGCATGGTCAAGTAATATAATGATGAATAGAGTGTCGAACCCAAAATGACTATGCGTTTGACCGAGTTAAAATTAATTACAATTTTAATTGAATAGCAAACAAATTTTGTGATTTTTTCTATATTAATATATAAATTATCAATTAAACTAATAAAAGTAAATAAATGTGTTTTTCCAAATATGTGATATGCATTGCTAAAATGTCGAATGCCCCTTATTATTTCATTTTTAGCGTAACATTTAAAGTAACAATTTGAAATCATCCATATTAGTCAATATTTCTAATTTAATTAAAAGTCTATCTCGATAGCAATCAAATCTATTTCCCTAATGTGACATTTCTATATCTCGATAAAAGATACAAATATGATAAATGCATTAACAAGTTCTAGAACACCTATTGAAATCATATAAAACATATATGTATATGTATCTCTATCCTATATCGAATCTTACAATATTTATTATATTGTGCTTAAACCTTATCATTTCTCTCTATAGCAATAAAATCTACTAATAATTCAATTGATGATCAAGCATTTGAAAATAACGATAAAAACGATAATAAATATTCACAAATCAAATCAAATTAAAAGTCAAAATAATTAATTAAAAACTAAAAATATCATTGTAAGGGTTCATCTCATCCAGCAATGTAGAAATCAGTCTAATACATTGAAATTATAATAAATTATGTTTAAGTGAAAAGACATAATGAGGATTTTTAATAAATTGAGAAGATGAAGATGAATCTTGAAATCTTGAATCTCTTCAATGGTTTCTTAATGAATCTCCACTTGCGCCTTCTCTTTTTCACCCAAAAATTAAGTTTGGATTTTCACTTGATTAAATTCTTGTAAGTCCTCTTTAATTCCCTCACAAAAATTATGAATTATCCTCATTTGATAATAAAATTGATTAGTATTAGAGTATATTATGTATATGAGAGATCTATAATATGCATTATGTTGTTAGGTATTTGTAAGAGTAGAAAATTGGTTGAAAATGACGTCCAAATTGGTTTTCAAGAAAATTACAATCGAATAAGAAAAGTTACATTCGTACGCAGATTTTTTATCTCTGCACAACAGTCAGTATTTTCGTCATAATTTTCTCTTCCGGTATTTGATTGAGACGATTCGAAGTACATTAGAAAGCTAACTCAAATGGTTACAACGTTTTTAAACAGAATTTTTCTTATTCAGTCTCAATTTTCAACTAAAAAGTTGAAATATAACTTGTGCGATTAGAAATTGATTTTGATAATATTTTGAACATATTCCATTACTTTTTGAGTGCTAGTTCCATCCAATTGTCTCCTAACAATCTTAAAAGTATCGTTTTGTAATCTGAATCAACTATTGAATATTTTCAATTTGGTCCTCGAACTTAGGACTTTGCCATTTTTCTTTTATTTCTTCCAATTTCTCGTTCAATCATTAAGTTTTACCTATATAATATAAAATACAACAATTTAAAATATACTTTGTCAAAAAAGTTATCAAATATCGATATTTTAGACCCCAAATAAATGTACAAAAAATACTGGTCAATCCCAATTTCCCTAAAAGAAAGATGCTGATATTATCATGATGAGGACTAAAAGATACAAATGTGTGACATAGTTGCTGAGCTCAATTAGATTCATATGCACCGTCAAAAGCCTGGCAATTATTATGCACAAGTCAATTTTGATAGGCATGAAAATGATGGGAATTTATTTCCTTTTGTAAAAGCCAGAGAGCTCTCTTTGTTTGTTTTTGTTTAATCAAAAGTGTACGATTATGGACTTGTTAAGTTTTTGAAACATAAAATTACAAATATGAAGTTTATTTCGGAGTAAATGAATTTTTATCTATATAATTATTCGACTCAATTTTCTTTCGTTCCATCTCAAGAATTGAAAGCAAAATTATGTTCTAATTAATCGTAACCCTTCAAACGTAATTTACGATGTTTACAAATTATTAACTATATTCAAACGTGTAAAAGATTCTAGTGGCACTCAATGGTGGAGCTACAGAGAAGGGGTGGCGACTGCTCATGCAACATTTCAAAATTTTCTTTAAATCTAGAAGCACATCGTGACACACGAAAATAGCAATTCAAACACGTCGTAGCACTTAGGCCTATCGTGGCATACAAAGCTTGCAATGCAAGCACGTTGTGACTCACGAAGAATAGATTTTGAAATATGTTGTATATATCTATCTACCTATATTAATTTCCCATTATGAAAATTTTGATTCCACCACTTTAGACACTCAAAAGCCAAATACTTTACGGTCTAGTAAGCAGCGCCTGCCCTGTTTGACAAAACTTTTAGATTGTCAGAAGAAAGAAGGTCAAAGTGACAAGAGTTTAAATTGGACCAACTTGGCTCTTTTTGTAAATTGTTCTTCCTCGACATCAAGTCGGGAACAAGAAAGTCCATATAATGAGTGAACACGATAACTCCCAAGAATTTAGAAGAAACCAAGTTAAATTTGAATATTACATATTGTCGAAGATTCAATTTAAATATATAAATATATATTCTTTATAAAAACTTAAGCTTCTTGGTAAAAAAGTTGAACATGTATCAAAGCAAAAAAAAAAAATCTCGGGTCCAAGTCTCGCTGCCCCCTATTATGAAATTGTACACGTATCAAACATTTGTAGTCTGCCCGTGACGTGAAGTGGTGAATTGAAGACTAAATTAAATAATCTTGTTCTCTTTGTAAAAACTTAGCCACTGCTTAGTTTTGCTAAAAATTAGATTTTTAGTATAACAAATTGGATAAAAATTGATGAAATATGTGCTTGAAAAATTGTAAATTCGATAAAATGTGTAATTAAAAATAAGTTTTGGAAAAATAGGGATCAAACATGCGCTTAATTTTTGAAAGGGAAATGCTATTCATCCCCACTGGGGATGCATCCCCAATCTATGT